AGGGACAGACATGCTAAACGATCCATTAAATGTGTATTCATGGGATATTCACCTAACAAAAAAGGTTACAAATGTTATGATCCAAAAACCATGTGAATGTACATTTCACGAAATATCGAATTCAATGAACAAATTCCTTATTTTCAAACTGATAAGTCTCAGTGGGAGATTAGCAAGACAACATCAACCCAAAATCAAAATCATTAAGAATACTATGCCTAATCCGGATATGCCTCAAGAATCCATCCTTGAAACACCACAAGGCTCCAGTGAGGAGGTTCAATCAAGTGAATATCAAGGGGAAATATTTCCTCAAGAGCTTTAACTAAGAAGATCTGATCATATTAGTCACCCTCCTCCTGATTTAAAGAATTACTATACATATCGTGTCAAGGAAAACAATCACAAAATTTGTTACCCCATTGAAAAACATATAGATTTATAAGAAATTATTTCCTAAATATAGTATTTTTCTAATCAAAATCTCCTCAAATAAAGAAACCACTAGCTTCAAGGAAGCTAACTCAAATGCAGTATATATGATTGCTATGAAAGAGGAACTTGTTGCTTTAAAAACAAATCATACTTGGCATGTTGTTACTCTACCTAAAGATAAAAAGCCAGTTGGATGCAATTGGGTCTATAAAACAAAATACCAAAGTGATAGAACTATTGAAAGATATAAAGCGAGACTTGTTGCAAAGTGATTCACCCAAACTTATTGTGTTGACTACAAGAAAACACTTGCTCCTGTGGTCAAAATGAATATTGTGAGGGTTTTACTTTCTACTGGTACCAACAATGTCTAGCCTTTATATCAACTAGATGTAAAAAATGTCTTCTTACACAAAGATTTTGAAGAAGAAGTTTACATGAAACTTCATCCTGGTCATCCTCAGGAGTGCAACAAAATTCTGGCTTACAGGCTCAAGAAAGTAATTTATGTGTTTAAACAGTCTCCAAGGGCATGATTTGCAAATTTAAGTCAAGCTCTCATTGCTATAGGGTTTTTCGCAGAGTAGTGTTGATTCATCTATATTTGTAAAAATAAGGCAATCAGATAATGCTATTGTCCTTAACTATGTTGATGATATTGTTATACCAGGAAGTGATTTAAATGTCATAACAAAATTAAAATATTACCTTCATACAAAGTTTGATATCAAATATTTAGGAAAATTCAAATATTTTCTTGGAATTGAGGTTGCTTACTCTCACATAGGAATTTTTATTTTCCAAAGGAAATGTGTTTTAGATCTTTTGCGCAAAACATGAAGATAGGGTGTAAATCTAATGATACTCAAATGGAGACAATTATAGAGCCAACATAGACTCAGGCATAGTTTTAAAAGATATTGGGATGTTTCAATGCTTGATTGGTCGACTTATATATCTCATTGTCACTAGACCTGATATTGTTGATGCGGATAGTACGGTAAGTCAATACATGCATTCTCCAAAGACAACTCATCTTGAAGCTATCAATTGAATTCTAAGATAAGTCATCTCCTAGAAAAAGAATTTTAATGAAAAAGAATAGTCATGCTAATATTGTTGCATTTTTTGATGTTGATTGGGTAGGTATTCCTACAGATAGAAGATCCACTATATGGTAATGTACATTTGTAGGGGATAACCTTATAATTTGGAAAAGTAAAAAACAATCGGTGGTTGCTCGATCCAGTGCTGAGGCTGAATACAAAGCTATGTCAACTACAACCTGTGAATTAATTTGGATAAAATTTATTTTTAGATATATGGGTTTCAATATTTTGCATCCAATTATTATGAATTGTGACAACCAAGCTATTATACATATCACATCAAATCCCGTATTTCATTAACGAACTAAGCACATAGAAACAAATTGTCATTTTGTAAGATAGAAAGTTCAAGCCAAGGAAATTACTACTCCATTTGTCATAAGCAAAAATCAACTTGCCGATATCCTCACAAAAGCCACAAGCAAAGTACAATTTCAAGAAACACTAAACAAGTTGGGCTCAATAGATATCAGCGCACCAACTTCAGATGGAGTGTTGAAATCGTGTACATCTAGTTGTAATCGTACACATCTAGTTACTCATATTTCATATTCCCCATATTTTTAGGTAACTTAATATGAATAATATCTTGGTGATATATTTAGGAGATATTTGGGGAAACAGTTTCTATTTTGTTATTATCTTGTATCCTCCATTTAATATTGGATGAAAATGGGCACGACTGAATTGCCCTTCAACCATGGATGTAGGTCTAAGAGACCGAACCACATAAAACTCGTTGTATTTTCTTCTCTTCTTGCCTCCTCTTCTTAAATTTCTTCAACAAGTTGGTATTGGTTGCTTCTTTCTAAAACATTCCCTCTCTGCCTACTAGGGAGGATCTTGATTTATTTTTTCTCTCTCCGTCTAGTTGACTTGATTGGTCATTGCTCAATGAAGCAATCTTACCTTCATGTTGCTCACAAGCTACTCAAATTATATCTTATGGAAATCAATTAACTCTTAAGATGTTTAATCTAAACAAATCAAAGTCATTTTTTACTTATCTTTTATTTAACCAAAATATATGAAAATTGGTTGTAGTGATATGAATTAGAAGTCATCCAAACGACCTTCAATTTGGATATATTAATCATTAATGAAAAATCAAGTGGTCTAACTGGTAACCACCCGGTTAGATTGAAATTGGACTGATCGATTTCGGTTGGTTTTAGTGATTGGCCAGGTATTTTTTAAAAATTATATAAACTTCTAAAAAATAAGAGATTTTGTTAGTAATATATTTTTTAATGTTTTCCATCATTATGACAAAGATTGGAAATTATTTTGACCATTAATACTTATTTTTACATTTTCTATATTTTCAAAAAATTTCAAAAATACCCCCAAGCACAAACCGATTCTTTACGATCCATTTTTTTCATTAATTTTTAATTTCATTTGGATGTGCTTTATTTAGTCATTATTTAAATATGATTTTTATATTTTATTTTTATTTTTTTGTATTTTTTAACACTTTTGGAGTGCATGGAACTTGCCTGGATAGGCCGGTTGAACCGCTTTCGGGCCCATGTCTGCTGAACTTTTCTAGTTCAATTTTTCCTGCACTAATATGAATGCAACAAACTTTGTGAACCAAGGTGGGATAGAGAGAGTCTCATTTTTCATCACTAATATCCTGCACTAATTTGAAAAACAAGGGGGTTAGTTGGATGGGAAATGCTAATAGTGTTTTTCATCCTTTTTTTTTCAAACACATCATCAGCTTTTCTTCATTTTCCCAATTTATTTTCTACTATGTCTAAGGGTGGCAATGAGCTGGGTCAGCCCTTGCCTTGGCCCTGTCAGTGCTGCCCCAGACCGACACTAGCCCTAAGATCACAGGTTGTAGCTCAAGCCATATTTTTTTAGGGTGGGGCCAACGGGGTTACCCCGCCCGTTGCCAACCCTAAATTTATGTCCATCTGATTGCCTTTCGAGCTTGGTCCAGGTAAATCTTGTTATCTTCCATGTGATCAACTTTTTTGCTTGGTCCAGGTAAATTTTACTATGTTCAATGTGGCATATCGTTAGTTGATTGCATTATCAAGGATTTCAAGCCGAACTTATTACCAAGTTCAGCAGTAAGGTTAGTGTTAGTATTTTGGTTTTGAAATATATTTACTTGTATTTCAAAATAACATTTATAACTTAGTATTTCTAAATTACTAAGTGTGTGTACTGCAATACGCAAGCAAGTCAAACACCATTCATTTTCAAGATGGACCTTAGAAAGCTGCAAACGTTGAACTGTTTTTCCATCACACTCGTAGTAATTGCCCATCTTGATCGTGCATCTTTGTATTAATCCTTAGGGTTAGATGGTCATCGTTGGCAAAAGTTTATATAAATTGTCGACTTTGTACCATAAAAGTAGGCTACACCTTAAAAATTCACCCAAAAAGGTTGTTTCCGCATAAAAACCTATAATTTGATCATCTCGAACTCGTAATGTACGGATTAAAAAATTAAATACTAACAATAGTGCATCTTTTAACATATTATCTAGACCATCATTTCTAAATTTTTCAAGTGTTTACAAATATGCTCTATCTACGATATTTTTGAAGTTTTAAATTTTTGTAATTGAGGTGAATATAATGAGACTATTTACTTTTTCTTTTCTTTTTTTTGTTTTAGTGGTTCAATGTGGAAGTGGTTTCTTACTCAGATAAGAATGAGACTCAATACATCATATTGTGACACTCCACCACCTAACTACCTAGCTTTGAGCCCATTTTCTAAATGAGACTATTTACTTTTAATATAATGACATCATAATCATTATTGTTCAATTACATGTAAAATGAGGGGGTGACACTCCACCACCTAACTACCTACCGTTGAGCCCATTTCTTAAATGAGACTATTAATTTTTAATACAAAGATTTTATAATCATTATTGTTCATTACATGTAAAATGAGGGGGTTAGGAATGTGTCATTGACAAAATAAAATTTGAGAATTTTATTAAATATTGTGAATATTTATCAAAATTCAAATCCAATGGAAACAAATGTGTGACCATCTTGTACCAAAAATGAATGATATTATAATGTGAAATCCTTTTTTTTTTTTTTCCGACCATAATGAAGGCTAATATGCTGGGCTTGAAAATTATCCGAAACCAAAATTGCAGTATTGAGTTTTGAGGCGAGCCTTTACTTAGCCCTTCTACATAAGCGAAGGCTCAAGTTCAATCCACTTCTAATAAGCAGCAATGCAAGGGCAAAGAGCAAACGTTCACAAACCGCATCCCCATCGGCTAAAGATTATAAGCTCCCTCGGGTGTACACGGATATCTCCCGGAAGTACAAAAGACTGTAAAAGATTATATGCTCCCTCGGATGTACACGGATAACTTCCCTTAATTTTGACCTAAAACCCTCAGTTGAAGACCGCCTCCATCATCTACCGTCCATTTTCATCTCTTGCCCTCTCCATATATTCTCTCCCATCAATTCCGTCATCTCTCTCGTCATCTCTCGCCTTACTGCGCGCTGTCTCTCGCGCTTCCAAACCTAAACCCTTTCTCTCTCTTATTTTCCCCCCTTCCATGGCTTCCGCAGAGAACGGTTCTTCTCAGGGGGAGCAACAGCAAGACCAAACTCAGGCCATGGAGGCCTCAGCGGCTCCTTCAGAGCCAACTCAGCCTGAACAAGAGAAAGACAAAGCATCAGCTCCTCCTGTTGCAGTGGCTCCTGAGAAGAAGTGGCCCGGCTGGCCTGGTGATAATGTTTTCAGGGTAATAGTCCCTGTTCAAAAGGTCGGTAGCATCATTGGAAGAAAGGGAGAGCTCATAAAGAAGATGTGTGAGGAAAGCAGAGCTCGAATCCGAATCCTGGAAGGACCGGTTGGTACCTCCGATCGTATTGTGAGTATTGAAAGAGAAACCATTTCTTTCGTTTTTGTGATTCTTCTTTTTTTCCTTATTGAACTGTTTTATTATTATTATTATTATTATTATTATTATTATTATTATTATTATTATTATTATTATTATTATTATTATTATTTATTTGACTGTATTTTTCTTATCCTAAAGAAACATGTGTTTATTTTTTCACATTGCATGTGCTTCCTCTGGTCATGTTGTATTTTTTGGAAGAGAATTCATGTCTTAGATTTTTATTATTCTCTCTTTCTTATATTTGATCTTTATGATTCTTCGTCTTTCTTATTTTTTCCTCGTTGCTTGTCTGAGAAGAGAACCCATCTATTCTATTTTTATGATTCTCCTTTATCATTCAACTGTTTTTTTTTTTTGCTTTGCATTGCATATGCATGTGGTTCTCACTGTGTACAATGGTTGGTGATTTTTTGGGTTTTCACTTATATTGAGATTTATCTGGGCGACAATCTGTTTAGGTGTTGTCTCTGTCATACTTTGAGTAATTGGCATCGTTTGACATTGACATTCATTTTTACCATTTGATCTGTATTTATTTCCCTTTGCATTCATGGAATATGGGGTTTATAAACAAGATATTTTGGGTCTATGGGAAAAGGAAAGAGACATCAAGTGTTTAGGTTCTTTTGCTTTTCCAGTTGGTGTCTGGAATTTGTACTGTATCGCTGTTCTAGCTGTATTTAATGTTTTATTGGAGTGTTTGTTGATTGTGCTGAATGTGTATAGCTTCTGATATCTAGATAGTGTGATCATTGGTTTCTTGAACTGGAACCTTTGTGGTTTTACTTCTCTATTTGTAGCCTTATCCGGGTTAATATATTTTTTCTGGTTTAAATTAAGTTTGAAAAGCTGATGGATTTGGAGGCTGTGGGTTTTCTCTTCTATTGGGACCAACCCCACTGTCTGCTAAGGTTTGATATTTGGAGGTGGAGAGACCTAAGGAGGTGTTCATTTTATTTTGCTATAGAGATATGATCCCTAAGTGGCTTGATCTCTGAGATTATCATGCTGTAATTCAATGTGCATTAGTATCCTTCATTTCGTTTTTTTGTATCATATAAGTTGAGCTTTAATCTTTGAAGAAAGTCCTCCAATTTCCTTAGGTTTTTGGGACTAACACTGGAATCGAAATCTCAAGTCGCAGTGGTGAATGATTTTCAACAGTTGTATTGTTCTTTATGAATAGTTGTCTCATTCCAATTATCTTTTATGTTGGAGCTATTATCTCATTAGATTTATTCGTGTTATTACATATAATATCAATCCACACTTATTGGATGCTTGTTTTGTAAAATTGCTTGCACAATTCTTCTTGAGATGATGTCCTTTTTGGGCTTGCATTTCCTTGCCTGCTGTGATAAATCTATCGGTTTTTGTTTCTCTCTCTCTCTTTTAAGTTGTCTGAGTTGAGTTTGGTTGAGTCATCCGGAACTTAATCTAAAAAAGGGCTGCCCATGAATCTTATCATTGAAAAATTGATTGTTTCATTTGATTCTTCTGTTCCACTGTAATCAAGCATAACAAGTTAAGTTGGCAAAAATAGGAACATATGTAGAATTGGAATGGGCTCTAGGCACCGGTGGTCAGGGTGGCGGGTGCGACAACATGGCATCTAGAATTGCATTTTATCAGGTCTCATATTAACACTGAAAAAAAAAGGGAGCAAAAAATGGATCAATTGTGAATTTTGAGATTATATATCCACTTCTGCAAGCTTCAAAATTAGAAGATGTGTGTTCCATGTTAACATGTTTGAAAATTAGTATAAATGTTATTAACTTATCAAGTTGAAAATAGAATAGAGACAAGAATTGGAAAATGTGGCAAAAAAGAATAATCAATAAATTTTCTGACATTCTTACCGAATAAAATATGCTTTCAGTGATTTAAGATGTTCCAAAATCCTTTATGATTAATGTTATGTCAGCCGTATCCTTCTTTCCAGATTTTCTATTATTGGGTTCTCAAAATTGTCAAATAGCTAAAAAAGTGATATTTTTCCGCTAGTTTTTCCTCCAAAATAGGCGTGGGACTGAGCATTTCACACAAAACCACAGGGCCCTGCTGAACTTTCTGGTCTTTGACTCTTCATATGTTATTTTACCCAATAACACCAGACCTTTCCCTATCTGATTCCCAGTTTGATCCTGTTGGACAGTAGGGTCAGATCTGATTTTCAAAACTGATTACAACTTACATAAGGGGCGGCTTCATTTATCTTTGAGGTGATTTTAGGGAGCTGCACTTCCTTTAAGGCATAAAATCCTGGTATATTTTCTGTATTAAATTGCTATAAAAATATGTCCTTTCTTAAATTTTATGGTGTGGCTCTGAGGTGACATGTTATGTACCAATGATTTGCTCTTTTCAAGGTCCAATCACCTTTTCAATTTGTTATTTCATTTTATCTCGTCTTAAGATTTACTATGCTTCATGCTCATGTTTGATGCTTAAAATCTAATTGTGATTTCAGGTTTTGGTATCTGGCAAGGAAGAGCCAGAGGCTGCAATATCTCCCGCTATGGATGGTGTCTTAAGGGTGTTTAAGCGTGTGGCTGGAGTGAATGAAGGTGAAGGTGATGCAGCTCCTAAAGTTGGCTTATGCTCAGTGCGACTGTTGGTTGCCTCATCACAAGCTATCAATTTGATCGGAAAGGGGGGAAGTCTCATCAAATCTGTGCAGGAAAGCTCTGGTGCATCAGTGCGCGTCCTATCAGGAGGTTGGTGAACCAATTTCACTGTCTTGGATTCTTTAGTTTGCTTTATAACCATATAACTTTCTCTCTTCTTTGTGACCATCTCTACTTCGGTTTGAAGGGTCAGGAATCCTCGTGGTTTAATTTTCTCATCATGTTTGTAATTTTTTATTTTTTATTTTTATTTCTATCTAAAATCAATCCTACAGTTAACAGTTTAAAAAAAAAAAAAATCAATCCTAAAGCATCAAATTTGTTTCCACATTGGATCAGAATTCATATAGAGATGTAGCAAAGTTTTATGCTGATTGCCAATGTAACACTACCCTCCTCCTTTCTCATCCGTTCTTGGGACCAGCTACTGGGGAGTTATTTAACATTTCAACCATAGTGTTTAGTTTAATTTCAAAGTACCCACAAAAAAAAAGAACACATGATCATGAGTTGGAATAGTTTCACATTTGTAAAATGTTAAATAGTACACCTCTCATGGGTGGTTTGATAAATTTCCCAATCTAAAAATGCATGGAATGACAAGGAAAAGTTGGAAAAGAAACATTGTGGTTTGCAAGTACAAATTATTAAACGAATCTTTGTTTTCTCCATTATTCATCTCCCAATTTAGGGTTTCTAATTTTGAATTTTGAAATTTGAAATTTTTCTTTAGAAAACCCTAAAAGATTTCACACTTCTTTTTTTCTTTCACAATTGAACCTTATGAAATCTTGGAATACAGAGATCAGAGCAAGGATATTATTGTTTTAAAAGACAAGGCTTCGGATCAACTTGCCTTTTCTAGCATTAATCTATTAAATGAAGCACGCTTATCTTGCCATTCAACTTGTATTTAATTTTTGACATTTGCTATTGAAAGAACCACATGACTTGAGTTTTTCGTCTCCAGACCATAAATGGCGACATAGTAATCGTTGGGGTGTCGTTCCTCCGTGCCCGCTAACCTCCAATTGTTTATGTCTGATGGTTGGGAAAGGTTCCAGCAAACTGTAAGAAATCCCAGTCCTAGCATATATGTTTCCATTTTGAAACTTGTAAGGATATTGTTAGAAAATAATCGGTTCACTCCACTAGTAACTAGGAGCATTTTTCTGCCAAATCCTCTCACTATAGGAGAAGATGTGTTGAAATTTAAGGTTGGGTTTGGGAGAGCTGCCTATTGCTAATGCATTAGTGCGGTGACCTATTGCTCTTTGTATTCTGTGCAATACTAACAAAAAAGTAATCGAGGCTTCTTTGCAAATCCATTCCAAAAAGGGGGACAAAAAGCGGTGTTCTAAATGTCCACTCGATAACAATAGGGCATAGCGAACCCAATCGATCCGTAATGATGTTGAACTTTATCTTGTAAAATGTCCCTTCTCTAATGTAGGTTAATTACCATTTTCAAAGTCAATTTTATGTGGGGCTAATATATTTAAATAGGGGCATTTTGGGAACAAATCTGACACGCCTATCCGAACCGAACTTAGTAACATAGTGTATGTGTGTACCCTTGATAAGTGTAATATTATAAATACCAACTCTTCAAGGTTACTCTTTTCCATCCAAATAGAATCCTTTATGATGTTCCGAACTTGAGATACATTTGGTGTCTAGCATGTTGTGAAAACTCTCGGGTACTTATCTATTGCTCTGAACAGTGCATGAATAGCTTTTTTGGAGCTCTGGAATCTCGTTCAGTTTATGGTCTTCTTTCGTGATTTGAGTAAATAAGAATGAGATGCCATTACCCTACGTGGTTGTGCATGATGCTTGATTATTAATGGAATGCGTGTTTTTTTCTTCTTTTAATCCCTCACCTTAAGAGGAACACAGGAAAAAAAAAAAAGAACTTGAGAGGGGGACAATGCACCTAAAGCTTATGACTGGCATTGCAATGAAATTCTCTGAACAGTCAAAAAATTATAATGTGACCCCAAAGCATAAATGAAGCAAGATTAAAAACTTTAACTAGTATTTGTAAGGGGTTGTCCGTTGATTGGTTCGTTCTTGGGCCACTTGACAGACACTATATAAAATGGCTAAGCCTCTGTGTTACTCAAATAAATTTTGGCATTGTTCATTGCAAGAACTGAAGTGTTTGATAATCAACTTGGTCATTCTCTTTGAGCTCTGTGATTTGGTGATTCTTATCCTTGTTTGAAGAAGTTAGAAGTTTTTTGGTCAATTTATAGCTCTTAACTTTGTGGTTGCAATGAGCTCTGTTTCCTTTTCTGAGTTTCTAGCGGCCCATTTGGTAGAATCCTAAGTTATTGGATTTATGAGGATATAGTTTTATGTATCAATGCTGAGTGCTGTATTTCAAGAGAAAGATTGTTAAACTTTATTCGAGCTATTTTCATATCTTAAATGGAAATTGAATTTCAATTCTGGTTTTGGAATTGTGTTTATTTCTGATACATACACTCAAGCTTGCTTTGCATTTAGTGAAAATAATTATACATCTTTGTTACAACTTTTAGCCCCTCAATTGTTCTCATGCGTACTGTAATTTTTCTCATTTTTTATCAAAAGGAAACCTTATATTCTCGCATAAAAGCGACAATAATACTCCACATTGTGCAGTGTATGGATTATCTTACATAAAAGACGTGTAATGCTTGTTGACTAAGAGGAATCAACTTGAAATATGCCATTCATCCATTCTAGTTGGATTAGGCTAGCTGGTTGAACTGTCTGCTTTTGCTTTGTGTGAAGACACATTAACTGTGAGCTGCCAACCATTGAGAATGGAACAGATGCGTGTAGCTGAGGATTTGAACGGTGAGCAGGCTAAGCGGGGGCCGTAAAACAAAATTGGAGCAATCTATGGAGCAGAAAAGCTAGGGAGTGAAAGGGAAGATTTAAAGTTTTTTATTTAATGAGGAAGTTTTAAACCCAAGGCATGGATTAAACGTAATGGGCTAAACGTGGCCTTCATCAAAACATGGGAGGTTCCATGGGACAGGGTGAGCCATGAATATTTTGGAGAGAGGTAGATAGTGTTGAAACAGTTTCACTACACCTTCTAACAAAAGGAAAAGATGGTCTTTGTAAGGTAGTAAGGCTTTTATTTTTGATAGATAGCTAAGGCGGTCATTCATTATTGTTTCAGGTAACGAATCTCTTCAGAAATTTGTTTCTCTGTGCATCTGTGAAATATGAACATAAAATAAGTGGTGGGAAGCAGACCCCTGTTTGATGGATACTGTATTTTTGAGAAAAAAGATTGGGAAAAAATATCAGTTTTGGTTTATGTTTCTATCTCTCATGTCATAACTTATATTCATAAAATGAATTTCTGAGTAATAGCTGCATTTGGGATCAAATGAGTAGCTTCTTGTTTACTTCTGGTGATCATTAATGCGAAACTATTCAAGAAAAGAGAAGACAATAGAGCATCAAAGTGATGACTTAATTTTAGGTTGTTTGGTTTTGCTTGGGGTCTTTGGCTCTTTTCTACCTTCTATTTCGATTCTTTTGGTCTAAGTATTTTCTGAGTGGAAGTTTCGGCCAAACAAATTTATGGTAAGTTTATCAATAAAAAAAAGAGGTTTATGGTATACTTTGTTAGGATTTATTTGAAAGTCTACTTATCTACTTTCGTGTTGTCCTAAATTTTGAATTATTTTATGCACTTCGGCGTTGCAGTTTGATCTTATCTCCTTCTAATATTAGAATCTTGTCTCCTTGTGGAATTCATCTCTCTTTTCTAACTATTTTCTATTTCATATTTTTAGAACTACCTTTGTTTGAAGCCATTAAAAATACGTGCGGACATCTCATACTGGCTTTAATTATGATAGAAAACTAATGTAATTATTTTTTGGCCTTCTGCTTTTTTGTATTCTAGATGAGGTTCCCTTTTACGTGACTTCTGAAGAAAGAATTGTAGAAATCCAGGGAGAGTTACCAAAGGTTCTCAAAGCTCTTGAAGCAGTTGTGGGACACCTCCGCAAGTTTCTGGTTGATCACTCTGTCATTCCACTTTTTGAAAAGAGCGTAAGTTTGTTCCTTTCAAATTTAAAGGAAAACATCTTGTACATTATAAAAGGGAATGTACACTGGAATCTAATGGAGTATGGTACATGGCACTGCAAAGAGGCATCCACCATCTTTTTCTGGTAATGGAGGGGGTCAACATACCTAACTATAATTAATTTTCACTGTCCATCATCAGAAAGGGATGGTGGGTGTCCCTTGGAGTACCACCGTATACTATGCTACTTAGGAGTTTGGTGTTCCTTCACCCGCAAGAATGGGTGATGCTATTTACGGTTTAATGTGAGATACTGAAGTAATGAAATACTCATCCCGATCCACCTGCAGGTCACTACTTCAACTGTTCAAGAACGTGCCCCAGAGAGTTGGGTTGATAGAACACAAGCTGTGGCCCCTGCTTCGCAAGTTGGAGTTGGTGCTGATTATTCACGGGGGTTGAAGAGAGATTCCTCATATTTGGAGTGTGATCCTCTGATTGATTCTCAACTCTCTGGGCTTTCTTCACTTTATGTGCAAGAACCTGCTCTTACTGGCTTACGCTCTTCAGGATTGGGACGCTCTGCTGCTGCTCTGGTCACTCAGGTCTTTTCCATGGAACTTATATGTTTTTTTTTTTGAGTGAGTAAACTATAACTGAACGGACCATGGCGAATCATAGTCCATTGGGTCCTTTTCTGTTGAATGGAATGATCAACAGTGATGGAGGGGGATCCAACATAGGTTATGTCCTGTTCTTGTGGATTCACTTTCTCTCCATCACTGTCCATTTTGATGTGTGTTGATGCCCCAATGGATTGTGTTTTACCTTGGTCAATTAGATCATATCGTACTCTTTTTATCTTACATTTTAAGCATATGGGCATGTTTTAGAATATTGCTATTTTCTTTGGATTGGTAAGTGTGGTTTAATTTCTGCAACCAAGGTGTGAGATGAAAAACTCCTACCATTGTATCAGCAAGCCTTTGGAGAGCATGCACCTAAATGATTTTATATCAGATTCCTCCTATTAGGTGTTTTAATATGCGCTCTTGCACACATACACATACGCACCCATGTGCACACACACAAAAATAAGAATATATCAATGGATGTATCTGTCCATCATCACTAGGCAGTATTGATGATCTGGTTTGTTTGATTTAATAACGACTTCATTTTTTCTTTCTCCTTACAAACTAGAAATCTCTCCTTACACAATGGCATGATTTTATATAAAGTTTCTTTGTGTACATGGGATAAAGATAAATTCCAAATTTTATTGACTTGCTTGATTTTTATCTTTATGTAAAAGTAAAGATCATGATACATTACAATTTACTGAAAGTCCCCCCCAAACCATACTTTCTAGGCATGTCCCACCCCAGTACTTTTTAAACCACATCACTTACCGTATTGGCTTTTATTTTTGCATCCACATGCCCCCGCTCCCTCCCAAAAATAAAAAAAAGAAGAAAGTAGCTTGTCTAGGACGAGAATAACCCCCCATGTGTATTTAAGAAAGTCTCTCTCCCTTGAAATTTGGAAATTTTGATAAACTCTCTCTAAATGTTTGGAGATAGAAATACCTAAAATTTCAAATTTTTAGAGACAAATATCTCCAAATTTGTACAGAGAAATTATCTCAAATTTAAAGTTTTGGTAAGAGAATCATCTCAAAATTTTTAGAGAGAGACCATTATTTAAAGGGACAATAAATAAATAAGTTGAAAATTGAGATAATTGCTCTCTCTAAAAATTTGAAATTTGAGAGAGTTTCTCTTGCTAAAATTTGAAATTTGGGATAGTTTCTTTGTAAAAATTTTGAAATAGTTTCTCTCTAAATTTCAAGTTTTAAGAGAGATGATGTCTTAAGTATATTGAAGTATTTTCATCTTAAAAGTATTATTCTTTTAATTATGGGGGTGGATGCAAAAATAAGGGGTATTAGGATTAGTGGTGTAGTTTAGAAAGTATTGGGGTGGAACTTGCTTAAAGTGTGGTAGATTGGGGGGGGGTCTTTAATTTTACGTTTGATTTATTAGATTTTTGAAGATATATTTTTCTATAGAAAGGCCAAGTTGTATAAGACAAGTGAGACCAGCTTTGCTTTATGGGGGCGAAATGCTGGACGGTTAAAAAATAATATACCTATAGAATGAGTATAGCGAAGATGAGGATGTTGAGATGGATGACAAAGAGGGATAGAATTTGAATTGAATACATTCGAGAAAATTTAGGTGTGGCACCAATAGATAAGATGAGAGAGAGTAGACTTAGGTGGGTTGGTCATGTGTGGCACAAACCCAGTATAGCACACCTGTTAGGAGGTGTGAGTTAGTTCAAGTGGGAGGCTAAAAAAGGGCAAGGGGTAGGTCCAAAAGGGCATCGTTGGAAGTAATGAAAAAGATATAGGGGCTTATAGCCTCACTAAGGGTATGGTATGGCCCTTAATAGAGAAAAATGGCGGGCCAGGATTCGTATAGCGATCCCAATTAGTTGGGAAAATGCTTTGACGATGATGATGATGATGATGATGATGATCTTTGTTTTAAAGACTACTTTTGCTATCCTACGATTTTTGAAGTAAATTTACTAGGGAGTTTTAGTAGTCTTGTTATAGAAATCTCTACTAAAAAGTTTACTTTAATCTTTCCCTTTTTGTCAAATGAGTGGAGTGCGTTGAGTATAATTGTGAATGATTCCAAAATTTGAATTTCAAAGCTCTCATTGGAGGGTTGGGAATGTGTGAATTTTTTTTTTTTTATTCATTTGAAATTTACGGTGTGTACAACTTACCATCATGCATAAAAAAAGAAACATACTTATTAAAAATTTAAATGACCAAATTTCCCCTAGAGCATTTGTAGGGGTATTTTTTTTTCGTTTTTAATGCTTGAATTATCTTATTATTATTTTTTAGGTGTGCCTTAGTAAGGGGCACAGACCATAAGAATTTCATGTAATTTTGAAATGGTAAAAAAATAAAAAATTTGGAAATTTGAATTTCAGAGGATCCACAATTGCTTTAAATGCCCTCCGCTAATTTGATGAAAAACAAGGTTTCAAAAAAAGGATCGGCAACCCTGATCGGCCACCTCAAAAACTGTGTCAGAACGGCGATCTGAATCGGAGAATCGGGTTGATCGGTAAGTTTTGGCCCAGAAATTTTTTCAAAAAAGCACTAAAATTTCTTAAAGACCTAGTTGCTTATGTTTACAGAGAAGTTGGGGGTATTGCATTGTAGATTTTCACTATTTTATTGAAAAATATATATATAATGAGAAGATCTTTCATGCTTGAGTATTTGTTGCCCACTACATCCATTCATAGTCAAAATGTAGTTTAAAATGCAACTCATTCCAATAAAAATGGATCACTCTTAACTCAAATTTTTTTATTTTGTATATTTATAATCTCTAGTATAAATTGCAATTGTAAAAATCTGGGATCTGCCTCCTCATATTTTGTTGTAAAGAAAAAATAAAAATAAAAAATTAATGGTGACATGAGCTTTCAACATTTTCACAAGCAATGAATAGATCTCTTGATTAGGACTAAATGAAATAAAATATACAGTGCAGGATATAAAAAAAAACAATGATTAGGGCTAAATGAAATAAAATATTCAGTGCAGGATATAAAAAAAACCAAGAAAAATAGATATATATATATATATATATATATATACCTGTGTGAATAAAATATAAAGTGTATTCAATAGCTATCTTACATATATTATAGTCTTCCTCATCGGAAAAGGAGATGCAGCAGGCATGGAAGAAAGGAACGTCATTTCACATCGGGGAGTTAGAATGGCAAATTAGTGCTCTTACACTAGAGGAGACAGTTGTTTGGCCTCTTACGCGTGAAAGGAATGGGCCAATCGGGAGAAAAAAAGAGTGAGGCGAACATGTGGAAGAGTTAGGAAGTGCCACTTTCAATCATTTGAATTTTGAAAGTGGGGGAGTGGGGCCAACACGTGGAGGGGTTGCGAAGTGCCACTTTCAAACATTTTAAAGTGGGGGAGTTGGGCCAACGCGTGGAGAATATTTTGAAAATTTTAAAACTACAAGGGCGAACCAAGTGAATCATACATTTTTTTGATAGAATTGGTACGGACTGGCCGGCTCTAGGGGGGACACGATCTGTTCTCGTTATATTGAGGGAATTGGATCACCCTGATCTGGAACGTCGAATTTTAAAACCTTGATAAAAAGGAAAAGATATGGGCAATTTTAGATAATATAAGGGCAATAAGTTGTCAAAATATTGAAGTAGAGGTCCCGAAAATCACCATTAGGGAGGTGCATTCTAGAAAAAAAA